GATGGCAGTTGAACATGTGCACATGGGTCACATGTTGCGCCAGTCGCTCATCGTCTTCTCTAGTCGGTTTGTCCAGGATGAGGAATAAAAGATCAAAACGAGATAGGAGCGCAGCGGGCAGATTGATGTTTTCAACAGGCGACACTTTCGGGTTATACCGGCCGTACAGAGGGTTCGCGGCCGCAAGTATGGATGTGCGAGCATTCAGAGTCGTCGATATTCCAGCTTTTGAGATGGAGATTGTTTGCTGCTCCATGACTTCGTGAATCGCAGTTCTGTCTGTTTCCTCCATCTTGTCAAATTCGTCGATGCAGCAAATGCCGTTGTCGGCGAGAACCAGGGCACCGCCCTCTTCAGCACTGTCAGACCGAGTGTTGAAGCAAGACCGAAATAAACTCACCAAGAACCATCTCATCGGTAACCGGGTCTCTCATGACCGCGGCTGTAAGACCAACTCCTGATGAACCTTTACCCGTGGTATAGACTCCTCGAGGAGCGATCTTCGAGATGTACTTCAGTAGCTGCGACTTGGCCACACCAGGATCACCCATCAGGCATATATTGAGGTCGCCACGAATCTTCATCCCGTCACCCATCGTCTTTGTTACACCCCCCACAAGCAACAGCAACAAGGCTTTCTTCACATCCGTATGTCCATATATTTCGGGCGCGATGTTCTGGGCAAGCTTGTTGTACAGCGACGGGTCTGCCTGCATCTCCGCGATCTGTGCCTGTATTTGTGGCGTCATCTCCATTTCGCTATATTGCTTCTTGAGTTGGTGGATGTGGTGTCCTTCGAGGTAGGTGTCTGTGAGCAGTCCAGCTCGGATGGCCTGGAATCCTGTGTAGGGAATTGGGAGGAAGATACCCCCAAGGTGGACAACATCACCTGGGTTCATTTGGCGTGTCAGGTTGCCGTGCACATGTATAGTCATGGATCGAGGTATGTGTCCTACTGGCACTTGGTCGGCCTGGAAGTTGTTAATGTCAATACAAAAGCAGGTGTCTATGACTCACCATCTCTTGAATTTTAACTTCTTGGAAAGGACTAAATCGACATGCTCGAGTCTGCATGTGGAGGGAGCCACGTATGCCGTTCTTCTTGCACTCCTGTTCGTTCGGACAGTCCGTAATGGGAGAAAAAGTTTTGCTGGATATCTGCTGAAATGTTTCGGAACCGCAAACATCGCAAGTATAGGCGTTCACAAGGAGCAGTGGTTTGACTTCTGACACGCGGGTAACGATGCCCCGAACAGTGATCAACCTGCCAAGATAGGTTCCCTTGACCTCTCGGACGGCCAGAGCAACGTCGGACCGAAGAGGTTGGAAATAAAGATTGCTTGAATAGAAAGTCAGCTCTCAAATGAACGTTGGCAATGTCACCACGTACTATCGCCGCAAGAGATGGTCGGGGAAGCCCTCTTGACTGCCTTCAGTCTGCTCATTCCGCTCTCGCCTTTGGTGTAGGATAACATCGATTACTTCATCATGTTCACTGATGTCCTTGGTTGGAGGCGGCATGAGCTTGTCTACGGCTTCGCTGAAAAGCGCGACGTAGCGCCGAGTGTTGTTTCGTATCCGAGATACCAGTTCAACGACCGTTTTCTCGTGCTTTACAAAATATCATCACGTATAGGATATCAGGAAGATGTGAAGATCTCGTACCTGGTGGATGTCTTCCATGTCAATGGTGAGCATTTGCTGCTCACGATTTGCTATGCGTTGCTGATGAATCAAACGTTGAGTAAAGACGCGTCCCGATTCCTGCATCACACGTACAAGCTGCTGCATGTATTTGAGACCTTTCCTGCTAGCATCTTGTTGATCATCCTCGTCATCGCTGAGTGCCATATCTGCAAAACCCTCGTCCCATTGCTTGTGTGTGCCCACATATGTGGATAAAAAGTTCTGTATTTTATCTGTGAACATATTAGCTCCATCATTAATTTATCGAGCAAACATACCTAGTTCATCATCGTAATTAATGGGTATGTTGAGTACCGGGAGAGACATTGTGTTGTTGGTATGTACTAGTCGCGTCTCAAAGGCGCGTCTGTCACAATCAGGTCAGGACGTGACATTTCTTGTCACGCTCAATGTCGACACGTGACTGTTAAGCTCGAAGTATGGCCGCACTGCCGCATCAGTGACATCAGTAAGGCCGGGGCTAGGCCCGACTGTTTCGGAAGATTGTTGCCGTGGTTCTCGATGTGAGCGCGTGTCGAGGAAATTAAGCGGACAAAATGTATGCTTGAAATATTTGCTATGCATGAGTTAGGGACATTTTCGAGGCGGCCAAAATTCAATCAGCTTCGGGGAGCTTCCTGAGACTTACTAGCTAGCTCAGCCGTGAATTTGAACACGTAGTTCTAAATCAGTCGGGTACTAGATATAACTAGGATTTGCATCGACAACTGTACATATATTCATTCATTGAATTTCATTCTCACGCGTGCTCCTGTAGCACTTTTCGGCTTCTACCAACTTCTGCCCCAGCTACCAGGTTCTGCCAACAACGCTAAGAAGGGATCCTACACTCAACGTTTCGAAACACCTCTATTTGCTGTACCTGATAATCTGGCCGTCTATCTTATAATACTTAAACTACACACATAGATATGCTATGACCTTCGTACCAGCACTAGAATACCTTCCATTCATCGACCAGTGAGCCTGATTTCAAGTGCACGTAACGGAAAGTAAGTTACAGCTGAAAATACTGCTGCGAGCTTGAATCTTGTGAGCGAGTCGATGTCCAAACAACCAAAGATGATGCATACCTCAAACCCGATCTCTGCTCCTACCATCTCTCCAAGTGGACCTGTATACAACTCCTATGAACAAAATGATGAGTCGGTGCACATGGATGGACTAATGCAGTGCCGATGACCCGCCTGAGACATCCCAATGACAGCACCTGCGGCACCAAAGCACCCCGCAAGTATACCCGCTACGCCCACCGGTAGTCTTAAGAAGTGAAGAGAGGATTGTAAGGTCACGATCTTCATTCAGAAGAACCACTAGCAGCTGAACTCACTTCGACGGCGTATCGTAATCATCCAAGTTGTACCCACCAAGCGGCCCGTTTTTCCGCCGGAAGATGAAGTGTTCCTCAGCCACGATCACGATGAAGAATGCCGTCCAGTCGCTGAGAATTCTGAGGAAATTGGAAAGAATAGTACTAAAATGCTCGCGGCCTGCAACGCCAGCTACAGTGTACGCCATGAAGGCTAGAAGTACCCAAAAGAAGCGCGGAATAATGGCGAACGGGCGTCCAAGTGCCTGCATGGACAAACCAGCGGAATAAGTATTTGGGATGTTGTTAGCACTATAACTGGTTTAGTGCGAACAAGCAAGGCGTTCCCTCATTCTTACATGACAGAAAGCGAGAGCAGGACGAGGATGAACTGGCCAAAGTGACCCAATGGCGACAGGACCTGCGCAACGAGGCCGCCTGTCGAGCCGCTTCCGAACGCTGCGACATATGCAGGGTCTGTGATGGTCATGAGGGCGGCGCCGAGAATCGTGACAAAGCAGATAGGGATGAACAAGCCGAAGAAAGTGAGTAGAAACACGCGCATGGGTGATGTATCAGCAGGCAGCCGACAGTTGAAGTCCGCTGCAATTGGCGCCCACTGGCAACCGTTTACATGACAATTTAGCAGTCGTCGGATAAATACAAATGGTGATTTAACCCACCCCAGTAAATAAGCCGAATACGATCCCACCAAAGCTGAGAATGTCTGCTGTGAGGGCGTGCCCCATTTCCTCTTGAAGCGGCTTTTGCGCGTTGATGTTATATCCAGCTTTTCCGCCAAGACCACAGAGGAAGAGCATGCTAATCAGGGTAATTATCCATGCATAGCGCTCGTAGAAGTGCACCATATTGTACCCAACAACGCACGGGATGAGAGAGCACACGCCAATGATGATGATTCCAACGACGGAAGGAAGAGTACCAGGGTTAATGTTGGACAGCGTTTGGCCTCCGAGGATGACAGTCGTTGTGGCAAAGCCAAGCCTGAAACAATTCTCAGCAAAATATGAAAACAACGAGGGAGAATAAACGCACTGCGTGAGGATGTTGAGGACTGAGTAGATGGTACAACCGAGATATCCCGAGCTGAAACGGGTGATGACCATGGTACGGAGGCCCGTCATGGGGCCGAGGGTAGCAACAAACGCTGTCGCGACGGCCCCGAGAGCGCCAAAGCAGAGGATAGTAGCTACAGCATTACTTAGGAGAATAAGTGTGGTTGCGACACCGTGCCCGGCCGAGTGACCTACCCGAAACTCAAAGTAAAGGTGGACTGTGCAAGCACGCCAATGGGAATTATATCAAACACTGTGTTAACGGACCTACAAAAAGGTCAAGTACAAGTACGAATATCGGTCGTGTGATGCAGACTGACCACCACATTAGAATGCTACACTGGGCTCAGATCAAGTATACGGTGGAACTTGAATACGTACTTATTCCAGGCATTTTTTGATTCTCGCTGGTTTTCTGGCACACGCTCTACTCCACGGGCCTCGATACCGCTTGCAAAGAGTCTCGATAGAAAAGGTCCTAATCTACCAAAACGCTTTACGATCACGCGATCTGGCGCTGCCTCGATCGCATACACATCTCGAGCATCTTCGAGCCTGGCGATAGATTTCTCCTCGTCCTCTGGGTAGTAGCCTGTGGAGGCAGACATGGCGGTTTCCGGGCAGTTATGCAGAATGACAATGGCTCGCAGGAATGTCAAGCGTGCAGTTACCACGGATTTAAACAATGCATTGTGAAGAGGGCCGTGCTGGCAATGCGCTGGCGTCCATTGAATAAGTCGGCCACCTAATAGTCGAGATAGCTCTAGTGTGTGTGTTTTTGGGTAATGAGTCGAAGCTTCTTGCTCCAATGAGTTACTTCAACGGTATGCGCCACAACGCACCGTAGAAAACCGATTCGTCACAACACCGGGACCGGTCACCTCAGGCATTACTTTTCGGAACCAATAATGGTCTTTCAGACCCGGTTTCTATGTTGTGGGAAAGTAGTCTGTGAGACCCACCCTCCCGCCATCTATTAATAACACATCCTCCTAGCGTGCACCGCGCACCTCCAGGAAACCCTCGCGCACCTCCAGAAAACCCTCGCACCCTCCAGAAAACCCTCCCGATCCTCCCAGAGAACCTCTCGTACCCCTCCAGAAAACCCTCCAGCCTCTCCCGTGGCTCCAATGCACCGAGCTTGGGAGCCTTACTCCTCCCCGTTTCGCACTGTAAGTTCTTCTCTTCTTTCCCTCACCATGTCTTCCTCGACACCTCGTCGCACTCGGAAAGCTCAACTTGCATTGTTTGGCCTAGGCTCTCACTTTGAGAAAAGATGAGGACACGCAAATGAAGATGTGCATCCAGAGAACGCGTTTGGCTCGTTTAGTAAGCATTTGTTTGTGCCAGCTGGTTGTTCGCAAGCTCATGTCTGGCTCAAACGGCACTCTATTAATAATACATCCTCCTAGCATGCACTGCGCACCTCCAGGGAACCCTCACGTGCATCCAGGAAACCCTCGCGTGCCTCCAGGAAACCCTCGCGTGCCTCCAGGAAACCCTCGCGTGCCTCCAGGAAACCCTCGCGTGCCTCCAGGAAACCCTCGCATGCATCCAGAAAACCCTCCTGATCCTCCATAAAACCTCTCGTACCCCTCCAGAAAATCCTCCAGCCTCTCCCATGGCTCCAATGCATCGAGCTTGGGAGCCTTGCTCCTCCCTGTTTCACACTGTAAGTTCTTCTCTTTCCCTCACCATGTCTTCCTCGACGCCTCGTCGCACTCGCAAAGCTCAACTTGCATCTTCTGGCCTAGGCTCTCACTTTGTGAGCCCAAGGAAAGCTCGAGACAAACGGAAAACCCAAACATATGTTGAGCTGCCTGGCGCAGAGATGAAGCGCCGCCGACTTTTAGATGCAATGGAGCGACTTATGAAGTCGCAACATGAGGAACCACACCTGCAGTTATCTGTTCAAGCTGCACCACCTGATACTGTGATTATGGAACACATGGATGCTGACAATCTTGTTGAATTCCACTCTGAAGACGTGGATGAACAACCATCTCTGGAGATCTCAGTAACGTCTGTCAAACGGCGGATCATACCAGACCAACCCACTAATTCACTGTATAAAAACTGGATTGCACTCATACCAACCCTTGTTGATCCGGTACTCCGGTACTTTGGACGAACACAGGGCAAAGCACTGGAAACTATACATCCAGTCATATCTGCATGTGGGGAGCCTTCGTGTACACCGAAACGGACAACAATGATGTGTTTATTTTTCGATCGTCAGCCCATATCTTGCAGTGTTCAAATTTTTGCTGACATTTATTTAGGCTTTACATCTATAGATGTACTAAGTTGTACCTGCTCGACTCTCCAGCAGGTCCTCGTCCACCATGGTCTATTCCCAACCGCGCCTTCACAGCCTCGGATGGCTGTGTCTGTTGACTTGCTTTCATTCTACCGCGCGTTGTTTGAGCGCTCATGTGACGCGATTAACGCACTCGCATCAGCGCTCAAAAATCATTATTCCCGGCGGGGTTACCAGATGACTGATGCCCAGGTAACAATCAGTTACATACTTATATCACTACTGATTCATCAGTGTTTCAGGGCGAAGTTATACAGGACCCCTTCCGCCGAGGCCTCGGCTATGCCGTCCAATGGTATGACATCCTGCAAGTTGAAGTTGAGCGCCAAGTTGAGATGGTCGTTCAACAACATCGTGATCATATAGCAAAGTTTCAAGTGTCCTCTCGAGTCCCAAATTCGCCTTCACTCACTCAATGCGCACCCCTTCTAGTGCAACGGTGTCCTGCTTGCTTTGCAGGTATACTCCATGGTAGATCCACAGATGAAGGAGGTGACATCCACGTTGCAATGGACGGTAATTTCCATCACCGTCATCGACGTGCTGCTGGAGACTGTCCAAATTTCTATGACCCAACCTATTTTCTGCCCAAAAGCTTTGTTGACGCAATTGGGCGCCATATCGACACTCAACGTAAGCGACCTGTGAAGTCTCACGTGCCCCTCGTCCCCAACGAAGCCGTTGACCAATGCGAGAATGCTTACGAGGCTGCTGATGGCAAAAAACAGAAAGCCGCTATGGATAGCTTTGATGACACTGGAATCATGGCCCTTATCTGTCGTCATGACATCCCATTATTTTTTGCCAATATAGACTCACCTGGAGAACAGCAGAAGTATTCAGTAGCTTTACTTCACCACTTCTTTTCATTTCTTCCGCCTGAAGCTACTGTCGTAGCTCTTTACGATATCGGCTGTGTTTTGGCACGAACACTCTCCAAGGTACGTTATGATCCTGGCCGGAACTACTTGCTTACACTATTTACAGTATGACATTCTTCCCATAAGTATCACCTCACGCCTTCGATTTGCAACCACTGCAATGCACGCATATGGGCATGAGTGGGCTTGCCAGCTCGTATATAATCCACGAATATGTGTGGGTCTTGGCTTATCCGATGGCGAAGGGACCGAACGCCTTTGGTCTCGCTTAGTTCGACTGATAGGTGTTGAGCGCACTTCTAGTGTATGTACTCTATTATTTCCATTATGAACTAATTCATTTAAAACACTGCTTAGCGCCAACGCCGTTTATGGCTAATCGATCGGCAAGCAGTGGCTATAGCTTCAGAGATGCGAATTGACCTTGGTGACTGGATCAAACGACGCCTCAGACGGGGCATCAAGGAACAAGGTTCGGCAGCCCAAGACGCGCTAGATCGATGTGGGGTTCCCATTGAAGAATTGCAGTCCGAGTGGTTGCAGCAAAGGCATTCTCAGTTATCTATCCGTGCTCGTAGGTTTTATACATTTTTAATGGCGTGACTATTACTCAATGATATCGCAAGATGCACCCGCCCGCCTCAAGAAGGAGTTGGACACTGTCCTAGCTCTCCAGGCAGATCTGGACACCTCAGACAAAGCATTGCAAACTGCCAGGACGATGTTGGAGAAAGATATGGCTTCAGATGATACTCTAGAGGCTCTCGAAAGTCTAGAGAGGGGACACGATCGCCTGATGAACAAGGTCGAGGCTCTTTACTCTTCATTGAACGTTCATGACAGGTTCCCTGAGCTTCATGGCATCAATCTCGAATTTGTTCGCATCCTTCTATTGGCACGCGATCTCAAGATGAACGTTCGTAAACGTGCAATTGCAAGTTTCTTTGAGTGGGATAAACTTGATCGAGCAGTAGGTGGCGTCCAGCAAGCGTTAGGTAAGATCGTGCTCTTTTGTTAGTCAATGATTAATCAGATTCTTCCAGGCACCAAGCTGCATCAACAGACACGCAAAGCAATTTCAAAGCGTCAGCCTGCACTAATGACCGCTATCAGGAGATTCAACTCCTACTGCGAGCGGCTTGATTCGTTGTATGATACATCCTGGGGGATTCCACTGCCCTCACCCCTTCCCACCAAACTTGCGGAACTACGTTCTGACCCAGGACTGATGGAGGATGTATGGATTACGCCATCTCTTGGAGAGGTTCCACGATGGTTAGACGACACATCCATAAGAGATGGTATTCGTGCACTGCTGAAGCGTGACCGGTGTCGAGAGGAGCAGGTTCGGCTGGGCGTTGAGGCCGATAACTTGTGCCGCTTCTTTGGAAATGAGTTGGCGGCGCTTGAACTTGCCCTTCGGTCGCCGAAGAGTGAGTTAATTATCTTCTCAACTTCCATTTCTCACCCATCCTTAGGTGAGCCTTTCGCTGTTCCATTGCAGCAACGGCATGCCAATTTTATTCGCCTTCAAACACGATGGTCAAATTGCTTAGCTTCTTCAGTACGGTTCACTAACGAAGTCAGCAAGGCAGTGGCCATTGCGACCACCCTCTCAGGAGGCTCGCCAAACATGATGTTTCACTGGATTAATGCTAGCACGCTGGTAGTGCCTGATTCTGAGGGTGGTGATGAACTCCCTATCATTGATCCTGACCATTGCCCCCAAGTCGATTCTGAAAAAGCAGCACTTGCCGATGTCCTGGAGGGTGAGATGGGGGCATTGGAGTTAGATGACGATGACTCAACAAATTATGGGCGCGAAGTTAATGCCGTGATTTGCTGGAACCTTCCTGATGTACGTTTATCTTTATTGTTAGGAATTGACGCTGACATGTCATAGAATCTCCTTGTGGATGACTTCTGCGTCCCATTGCAAGAGCCAGATGTCCTTGACCCTGCTAAAAATTTTGCACGAATACGACCTTCGCACGATGGAATCCCTCGTCTACTGTTTGAGCCGAAAGACATTGGTATACTCAGTTCTCCTACTGCACGCCTCAATGATATATGTATCAATAATTGCGCCATTCTCTTGTGGTACTCTCAGCTGAACACTTCCGCTACACGGTGCGCGATGCTCTCCACTCATGATCTTCCCCGCATTCGTTATAATGCCCCAGACGATATCATCTGGCGCCACACATCGTGGATTCGTTATTGGGAAAAAGATATCTGGGTTCTTCCAATTCATCGTCCGTCAGGCATTGGACACTGGGTGATGTGCATCATCCAGTTGTCGACCAAAGAACTTTACCTTTTTGATAGCATGGGTGATAGGACGCCTTGGCAAAGTGACGTCAAAGTGAGTTTAATTTTAAAGTATCCTTTTCATCTGATTGATTGGCACCTGATATGAAAGCATATAATAAGATTGATTGCTCGGTTCATTGCAATTGCGCGTCAACACGGCCATCATGTTCATATTGATCTCGAAGGGTGGGTGGCTCGACCGTTAAATGTGAGTTGCATGCTTGGCTTTCTTAACTAATCTGACATGATGTATTATTTAGATCAAACGTCTTCAGAATAATGACTTTGATTGTGGCCTATGGGTATTGGCTGCAATATTCGCCGTTGTACGTGGCAGCCACATAACAGGCCTACATGAGCGGGACATGGACAATCTGCGACGCTATATGCGGACTATGGTTCTTGCATTACCAGCTCTCTCGAGTTACAGTAGTACAAGGTCTACATATATGGATTCTTCCCAGTAATCAGTATATCGTCCTCCCTCTGATAATTCAATATCCTTCGCGCTACCCATTGGCGATAGCATTCGGCCATGACCTTGTGTCTTGTGCATGCCTGCAAATTGCTGACACGAGCATGAAGCTCATCCCAACCTGTAACTAACCGCTGACGCACTTCTCGGATCTCCTTCAGAATCTTGGAGATTTCACCCATGCTATACATGGCTGTACGGTGGGTATGTGATTCCCTTTCTGCGCGCAAGTGACGGCCATGCATCACATCCAAGAGGTTTTGCGTGAAACGGTCTTCCTCTGGTGAGTCAGGTGGAGCTGGAGAGTTGTAAGGAGGGGCTTTGTCCCACTGCAAGAGATCGGATTGATCAATCAAGTTGGATCCGGCGAGAGATTGATGAAAAAGATAGGAATCGGGAAGAGAGAAGGTTGAGCATCGGATTAGTGAAGACGTTCGAGGATCATGCAGATCCCCAGATATGATATGAGGCCCACGTCGACCATGACGTTTGGCATATGCACGAGCATTCTGAGCTTGTCGAACAATTTTACCTCTGTAAGACATATGATTAACAAAAACAAATGATTGCAAAATACTGACTGTTCTGACCGAGCATATGATGCTTTATGTCGCCGTGCAGCTGCCGATTTCTCTTCAAATGTGAAGTACTTAGCTTTGCGACCCATAGAGACCAGGCAAGTGGGCAAATGGTTTAAACTGTGTGAAGACCAAACTTGATCTTAAGTTCATATTGCGATGTTATCCTGTTAGTAGGCTGTTACCCATCAGAACGCAATACAGCCATCAAACACGAAGTTCTGGCCTTTATTTTTGCATTAGCATGATCGGGCGTACTGTGGAAGTCGACGACACCAGTCCAGACAGCTTGGCTGGCAGTCAATCCCTGTCCATTTGTCTTTTAAATTCAGTGCGATTTGTATTTTCAATCTCATTGGCTCACCAATCACTCCCGGTGACTCGGAGAAAGTCCTCTGAGCCATACTAGTTAGTATATTTCATATTATGTAATGTGTTGTCACAGTATGACAAATGTCGAAAGTTCAACCAAACCAAATAGACCGATGCTGCTATAGCATCCTCACTATACCATCCTGCGATTTTTGCATCTGCTGCAACCTTTTGTGCATGTAGTTCCACCATACTCGCTTAGTAACAGTCACTGCCTTTGGTGTGCCGGGTGGCGAACGGTGTCGAAAGGTGGAGCTCCAATGTGTCCTCTTTAGTCATGTTGCTTCATGCGGTTTCTAACCTCGTTTCCACAGTGAATCCCATTACCACCCCACAGGAGCCTCAAGAAGGCCTCCCAATAGCCTCAAGAAGGCCTCCCAGTAGCCTCTATGAACCTGGGCAAAACACTTAACCCTCTTGGGCCTACTAACCCGCGTTCATTTAACACTTTTGGTAAGTCGTAGCTTTTTGGCGCTACCCAAATTGAAGGAGGCTTCTCCGAACTTAGCATTCCAAAATTTTCCATGGCCTCTTTTTCACGTTATCGATCAACTGTATCTACATTGCACCTTGTCTGTATCCCGTTGCAGAATGACCGCAACCATATCCCAGTCCTCGCACTTTGTTGACGTTGCCACGCAGACAGACGCGCATTCCTTTACTATCACTCGCCTCGTAAGTCCTTAGTCAGTTTCATATGTGGATTCTACTGATCGCTTCTAGCTTGTGGACACGGCTGTGATGACAGGGGACCCAGAAGTTAGTAGTATCCAAGTCGATGCCGGATGGAAGACCCTCGACGGGATTCCTTGTATCATGGGTGGCCTAACGGCGCTTGTTGGTAAGGTTTGTTGCGTCCTTTTTTCACTGATCTTGACTCTATTTCAGCATCTGTCGGTGGTACCCTGCGTGGGCGTACCCAAACCGAATTCCCTTGGAAAACCCTGCCCAAGGAGCTAGCTCGGCTCGGATGTTGCCTCGTCAACTACCCTAACGAGACTTTGATGCCCGGCGAGACTCGACCTACGCTCTCTCGGAGCAAAGGCGTCCATGATCTGACCCTTCCTCATCGTATCAATCTTGTCAATGCGCTCAAGATGGGCACCCTCACCATTCGAGCCGTGACGAATGATGCTGCTCGCACACGCCTTATGATGTCTACGGACCCAGTTATTATTGGAGAAGCACCCTCACATCGATCGATCTACTCCCGCGGGCGACGTGCGTTTGCTAATGGTGACATTGATTGCAAGGGTCCTCGCCGTCTTGCCTCTCCCCCTTCTACACCTCCCACTTCTACACCACCCACTCGTACTTCTACACCTCCCGCTCGTCCTTCTACACCTCCTGCTCGTCCTTCTACACCTCCCGCTCGTCCTTCTACACGTGCTGCTCGTCCTTCTACATGTGCTGCTCGTCCTGCCACATCACCTACTCATCGTCATGTTCAGGTCTTTGTAGAGATATCCCGCCCGCCACCCCGGCCAGCTTCTAGGGCAGTCTCCAAAGTAATACCACCATCCACCACTCACACCATATCACGCCTGCCACCCTGGCCAGCCTCTAGAGCGGCCTCCAAAGCAATAACACCGTCCATCGCTCACACCACGGATCTCATCCCACCAATCGCTGCCGTCGAGCGGTCTGCATCTTCTTCTGAATATGTTGATGATGAGACTCTAGATGAGGAGTCAGATGCTAGTGAGAGCGATCATCGGCCTGCCAAGCGTCTCAGACGGTATAACAGCAAATAATCGAATATTAATGTTTTCAAATGATGTAGATAGCATGTTAGTACAATAAATCTTTTCGAATTCGTACTTTAATTTCTGACGTGGCAACAGAAGTAGACCCACGGTTTCGTCAATGTTATTTTTAGCCGCAAGATGATATTCATTTCGCGGCCTTTCTGTAGCCTCTTGGACCTCCACTCGGCATATTTGATATCTCGCTGCTTCTACATACAACCATCCTGAGCGCTTATCCACGCTTGATCGCTGATGCCTGTGCAGTTCCCGGTGTCTTGGGTCACACTTACTATTAGTTGTTATCGCTCCAGGAGTTAACATCCGAAATTCAGGATTCAGGAATCTCGTACTCGAGTCGTGATCATCATGATGGGATCCTGCAAATATAGGAGTGCCTGCCGGTGAGTTTCCTGCCTCATCACTCCTTAACTTACTCACAGAATCCCACTAATTTCACTGGTTCTGAACGACATGATTTCACTCATTGTTCGATATTATGTATATTCGCATCACCCTTATGCTCAACGTTATCTGTATTTGCTTGGTTCTGAACCCTCTCGTTAGCCTCTCGCGCCTCCTGAGACCCTCACTCACACTCTCATGAACTTGTCTGTCTTGGTTGGGTATCTGCCGGTAAGTCTCCTGCTTTCACTTCTTAATGTACTCACAGAATAACACTAGCTTCACTGGTTCTGAACAACACGATCGAACCCATTTCAACGGAACCGCCAGCTCGAATATTTGATTGCAAAGTGAGTCATTTGGCATCATGTATAATGTTATTCTCATTCACTTCATTCTGAACCCTCTTGTTAGCCTGTCGAACTCATGAGAGCCTCGCTAGAGCCTCACTAGAGCCTCACTCGCACCCTCATGAACCTGTCGGCCTTGGTTACCTATCCGAACAAATTTCAATGTCTTACGTTTGTTAATTCCGTGCTATTATACCATTCTAACTTGTTTAGTCCGCATCAGCTCAAATCAGCCTCATAAGTATCAGAGCGCTGCTCTTTTTTGTTCGTGCCCCTTCCGATTTCCTATCTGATTCACTCTGCAATATCTTGCGCAAATATTGTACAAGTAAGTCGGCGCCCTCTCACATATTTATTCTGTCATTGACTACATACTGTAGACATGACCCAAAACATCCCAGATGACCTGTCGTCTCCTCACCCGAGCTACATGGGTCTATCCCCCGATACCTTCGATTACATGCAAGAGCAGTTCGGCGGCGGCCGTCGATGCGCAATGCCCCCTGTTGAGCTGACTCCCTCGCGACTCAGGAGTAAGCTCAAAGCTACAGCGCGGGACGTCGGCCTTGTCAAAGGTGCATCTAGCCGCCGCCAGGCCTATCAAAACCGCACTATGGGAACTCAAGATCCCATATCTGCGCTCCCTGGTGCACCAGACCTACCTCATGTGGTGCCAGGTGGCACTTTAACAAGCGAAACGTCATCGCCAATGGTCCACGCGGCTAGTAGTCGCCATGCCTCACCATTTCCTGCCCCAGCGGCCCCTGCACAGCTCCAGGATGTTTTTTTTGGTTCCATGGACCAGCAACGCGCGTGGATAGACTCTAACTCTGACGCTTTTAGCATGATGGGGTCTGAGTCTTTTTTAGCTGGAGGATCGCAAAATCACCTCACCGCACAGGGCATGGAGCGCCTAGCACCTCCACCAAGTTACACTTTTCCTGCGAGTTCGTCGGGTCAACCAATGGCTTCTCGTGCATGCTCACTAGATCCTCATGCTACAGGCCAATACCCTTCTGGCTTTACGGAGGATTTTTCTGGCGAAGCCTCACCGTTCATCCTTCAGCCAGTTCCATCGTCGTCATCATCTCATGATCATCCGCTTCCCCTCCCAACCACAAACGTCATTCCACCAACACCATTCAAGGATGGTGGCAGCCAGACCAACACCACCACCTCGACAAATACTATTGGTACTTTGCTGAGCGGTTCTAGTTCGCAGATGGACTTAGAAGGCTATCCTTCTGCCTCTCATGAACGCTTTCCCGAGGAGCACGAGCCGGTGACCCATCAAGAAGGACTTACGGTTACTGGACGCAGGTCTGCAGAGTTGAATGCAGCACTAGAAGCCGGGTTTGCTGCAGTAGAGCGGTGCTTTCTCGAACTATCTGCATCCACCACGCTCCCTACTTCTCAATTAATCAACTTGTTCCTGAAGAGTCGTGGACGCACCGTAAACGGCACTAATTATTGGAACCTATATGCCAACTACTTCAAAGAGCATGTCCAGACGGAGCTTGCGCGCATCGGCAGAGAAGCTCCCGCTGGAGGTGGCACGCCTAGTAGGTGTCATATTATAACTTGTTGCGCAGGAAGTTAATGTTTCTTATAGGTGCAACCGTGCGGACTCAATGTTACGATAAATTCAAAGAGGTTTATTCTGATTCTTACCAAGATATCCTGCTAATGCACGAGGAGGCATCACTCCTCGGATCTTCGCCTCAAACGATAGCCCAGCGTGGACAGGGGTTCCAAAAACATTATCGAAGAGTGATACAAATAGTATGTTTTTTCACCCGATGTTCTTTCATTCCCTCATGTCGTCATCATAGCTTGAGTCTGCCGCTGTTAAATTTGGCTTTGAAGCGGCTGTCGTTCTCTGCGGCAAAGTGGTCAACGAGGATGGCTCCCTTGGCCATTCGTATAATACACCAGGCGCTGTAGGGGTAAGTTTTTTTGTGCTCTACGTCCCGATGTATACTTAAAGATACAGTTCTGGGAGACACGATGTCGCGCGAGCGATGATGCCATCGTCGGGCATCTCAAGGCGCACGTGTAGTAAGTGTAAAGATAAATTATGTTTATGCTATGACTTACATTGAAACAGTAATAGTACATCTTTGACTGCGGTGGATGATGCCTTCAACGATGGCACCCGCAATGACCCTTCAACCCCAAACTCGACTCTGAACCATGATCGTGACCAATCTCAGGCTCCCGAGGGACGGGATGACGGTTTGAAATGGATCAAACTCGAACTTATTAGACAAGTTGGTACGTTAGAACGTCGCTACTCCTTTCATCCATTTGACCTAAACTACGAATAGCCCAACTGGGGGGCAAGTGCGCCTGGGATAAAAATTTTCCCTGGAAGGGCATGTCCAGCGCCCTTGCTGATGCCAACCTCTGTATCAGAGGCTATCCAGCCCATAAGTGCCTTTTGCCCGGTGAAGCTCACAATGAAAACTCAAGGAACAAGGGCATCGGAGCACTGACGCAGAAGGAAATTGCAGCGCTCGTAGATGGGTTGAAGGCAGGAACTATGCAAGTCATCAAAGTTGACAAGGTGCACCGAGGTGAGTTTCGTCTACGTTATACTATGAACTTTCAGGTTTTAACCTCATATGTAGCGGCCGTGATGGCCTCTGAGAGGCCAGTCATCACTGGCATAGCGCCACCACCTGAATGGTCACATGATGGCGCTCGACGACTATTTGCTAATGGCGATACTGACTATCACGGCCCAGCTCGTCTCCAGCCTAGCGGTGCAGCTACGAAAGTCAAGAAAGCCACTGATAAGGCACCTCAGGCACCTTTTCGACCCTCCAATGATGACGATGACAATGATTTGGGTGACGATCGCCCGGCAGTACCTGCAGCTCCCAAGTTCCGAAAACCTACCATACGATTAGACCTACCTGCACCACTGCCCTTGCGCCCGTTCAAAGTTGTTGTACCGCCAAACCCACGCCAAGTCAAAACTGTTCGAAAGCCGGAATCAGCTGCAGCAGAGAGCGAGGTTATCGAACTGACTTCAACTGAGGAGAAGGCTGTTGAAGAGTCGGATACTGAGTATGAAGAAGCGCGCGGGAAAAAGAGGAAACTAAAGGCCACAAACACGTCGCGTGCGTTGAAGAAGCTAGCTTCATCCGAGGAGAAGACTGACGCTTCAAAAGCGGGGAAGAAAGGGACACGGGCTCAGACGAAACCATGCAAAGTACCTCCCATGCCGACCTCAACAATCTCTCCAACAAAGGGTGGTCCTCTGTCCCCATTGACAGTGGGGTCATCTAGTGTGGTGGCATCACCGGAACCTGGAAGTGAGTACACTTTATTCTAACTTGACTCTATTTGACTCAAGGCTGATAGCTGTGGCGCCAGCACGACTTCGGGATGGACCATCTGATGAGCGGACCAAGGGTAAGCTATGTTCAATCAAATTTTTCTCGTAACATAGCTAATGATTATCTACCCTCCAGTCAAACCGCGCCCAATTGCCAAGGCATCCAAAGGCAAAATGAAGCGTGTTCTTCGCATGGCCTACAGCCAGTCAGATGAATCTGAAGTTGACGAGGGTAAGATTGACGGGGGTAAGATTGACGAGGTCAAGAAGATAGACGTTGTGGTTACCGAGAGTGCTGGTGCCGTCTCCCCTGGCTTAGTCAATGTCTCTGCAGAATCTTTACAGGAAGGCTTGACTGAGGTAATGCATGATGACAGGCCAGCAGGAACCCAGCAGGAACCGCCTCAGATCACCAAACCCATTGAGGATCCTCACGATGCCGCTCGCGACTCTCGTGACCCCCACGACCCTCCACATGACCTACACCAAGTTCATCACAAGCTCCCCATACGTCATGATCCTCGTGATGGTGTCCAGCAAGACCTTCGCAAGGGTAACCCTCCACGCCACCTACAGGAACCTCATCGGGAGGTCACTCCTGACCCTCGCAACGACCCTCGCAACGACCCTCGAGAGGGTGGCCCTCTTCGCAACTCCCACGAGCCTCGTCGTGACCCTCGCGATGCCTTTCATGACACTCGTCAACCTTTTCGCAGTCATTCCCGTGAGCCATGGTACATGCATGACGCCATGCACCGTCGTGAAGTTCATCTGCGTGATGAAAGTCCTATCATTGAGCATGATGCTCTCCACTCCCGTGATGTCTTCTACCACCGTGACTCTCACAATCACCGCTATGCCAGTTTGCAACCTCGCGACTATTATGGACCCAGTGAGCCTCGCACTGACAGCGAGTTCACCACACGGGATACATCCCCGGCCTTAGAGTCCCATTATGCTCACGGTGAGCGTGAACGTGCATACCCAAGCCGATACAGCCCAGTGCTCAGTCCTGACTATGCTCATGAAAGTCGATATGCTCGACGCAATGGCCTTGACGAGCGCCGGGCATTTGGTGGAGGAGCATACCGTGACAGTGGGTACCCTCAAGGTAGAGCTCATAACCAGGATTCTAGATGGACGGACAATGTCCGTAATGTTGCATCTTCATCTTTGGACTACATTCGTCACGACACTGTCCCACGAGCATTTACTCGAGACCCCACCAACCCTCCGCATCCTCCTTCATCATAATCAACTTTTGATATGCCTGTGCTTTTGTCGTTTGTTGGGTTGCTATTTTGGTTCATCTTCTCATGCTTACTTCGTCTTTTTACGGTGATAACTTACTATGGTGGTTTGCTCATCCTACACTTGACCTGTCCCTTTCGTACCCTAGTACTTATGTAGCTATCCATGCAGTTTTAACGATTTCCTCTTGTTTCGACAATGTCAGTATAGCAGCTCCAATGCCCGCTCTTGTTTGCTTCACAACATGTTCGAAACCGCCATGAAACTTAAAGATAACGATACTGCGATGTGATATGTTTTATTAAAATGTGACATTCATAACATAAATACAACGCAAAAAGGAAGAAAAAAAACATAACATACAATAAAGGGCGGGGAAAAACATAACATATTGTCGTATGTGCGAGAAGCACAAGGGGCTCCAAATCATGTTGACTCGGATAAGCGGCGAGACTCTCAATGATGTGATGAAAACATAACATAAGTATGAGTGACAAACATAGGGAATATAAAAGGCGAGGGGACAGCATAAGGTATGATGTATCGTCGGAGGAGCATAAGAGGCTCCAAATCATGTTGACTCGGATAAGCGGCGAGACTCTCAATGACATGATGAAAACATAACATAAGTATGAGTGACAAACATAGGGAATATAAAAGGCGAGGGGACAGCGTAAGGTATGATGTATCGTCAGAGGAGCACAAGAGGCTCCAAATCATGTTGATACACGGCGAGACTCTCGATGACGTAGTGGAGGTTCAGCACCGTGATCTGCAATAATCGGAGCCAACCCTCCAATGAGGCCCACGAGGGTACACTTATTACTCTTAAGGAATTGGGGGAGACCCTCCAGGGAGAGGGATGTCTCAGAGACGTGTTGTGTCATACAGGAAAACTGGGTCTGACAGACCGTGAGAAGCACTAGAAAGTGCTGCCAAGGGTGGGACCGGTCCGCAACTTGCAATATCAATTTAAAAGTTTTGACCAGATTCAAAGATTTAACTGCATGGTAGGACCAAGGGAGCATCGGTTGAATAACCTGCCAAGGTCACATTTCGTCCAGAGAATAGCCCAACACCATGTCCGTATCGCCGATGCAAGCCTGTTCTCATTACAGGCGTTGACGTTCCATCTTTTGCCCTGGAGGGGATACCTAATTCAGCGGTGCCTCTGAAAATACGGAGTGGTGATTCCTGTGAAGTACGTCTATAAACAAATCGATGAGGAAGGGGATATATGACGGAATTGATAATCGTTGTTGGTGGGCGCATAGCGTAAGATTCCTGCCACTGAACCGTGACAGCTGCAACCTCACAAGTAGGACCCGCTGATATGGCGACTGCGATGCAGAGAGGATTTCAGAGATTTTGCAGCAGGCTACCCAGGCCGTAACAAGTAACGACGGGGGCGGCACTCCACTATTCGTATGTTTTGGTGAACTTTCGTTCCATTTGTCGTTCTGAACTCCAGGTAGAAAACGGTTAAGTCGGCAAATGGTGTCGGCTATCGTCGTTCACCCGTAGCTGCACCAGCCAAGGACTCAGTGAACCCAGAGACCAAGACCGACAATAGTGACTCCGATACAGAGAGGGTTGCAAAGATTTTAACCAGCCTATTCGCACCCTCAGGGCAAGGCAGCTACTAATATGTTTCCAACAGATGCATTTTTTGTGCTGAGCTCCAGACTATCGTTGGAAACGCGAACTCATCCTGCACTTGCAAGGTTGCCAGGGCGCCGCTGCCAGAAGGCCAGAGAATTGATGGCGATTCCAATATGGAAGTACGAGCGTTCCAGAGAGTCGAACACCATGTTGATCTCCAGCACTTGAAGACCAGTTTGTTTCAACCCTTGAACTGGCACCTGGAATTGAGCTAGGGATCCACATCGAGATCAAACGAGGCATTATAGCGGAACTCAAAGTAGAACGATGAACGCCCAGGCATTTTACAGGCACTGAGCTTTTGAACCCGGTTACACTCTGGACTTCTGCGTGGGCACGCCGGCCCTGCTCAGACCGAGGGCATGTAGGAAATGGCCGGTCTGTGTTAAGTCTGCGCAGACTCCGCCTCAAAGTCTGGGGGACACGTCTGGGTGTGTTTCGTCGGCAAGCTCCGGGTTGTCTGACATCATCACTCCCGCCACTACGCCAGCCACTGTGACACTAATCCTATCAGCTACCCCCGTCA